TTCAGATATGTTAGTAGGGGAAGACCAAGGGGGGATGTTCACCTGACCACCCTTCCCCCATCTCCCCCCACACCATCTTTTCCATCATCCCCACTCCCCACCCATCCTATGCTTCCTACTCTCAATATGTCTTCTCCACTTACATTTTCTCACCTTGCACGCACATACCTCACACCACATCTCAATCAAACTATATTCCCGATCATATTAGTTTTTCTTCTCCCTATTCTCCTCTCTCCAAGCTCTATCAATCTCCTTCTTCTTCTCAACATTCCTCCCCACCCACCTTTTCCATCTGTCTAAGCACACATTACAAGTCGCATTCTTTTCATTAAACATTCCCAATTCCTTATTACATCCACACTGTCCACACCTTCTCTTCTCCACTTCCTCACCTCCACCCTGAGCATTCTCAATATGCGTATTTGTTTTCTTATGCTTCCCCCATCCACTTTTCCTCACATTGCACTCACACACCTGACAATACACATTCTCAAACTTATCACCTTTCATCTCCTTAGTACCTATTGCTACTATCCCTTTAAGTATTGGTCAGGTGAACATCCCCCATTGGTCTCTCATAGAAGAAATTAGAATAGTAAATATCTAGTTTATAGCATTATATAAATATTTATCTGATCAACTCTTCTGGGATTATGTATAATTCCTTCTGATTAAACAATGTATAGTTTTCAAGTTTTCAGGCCATGTTTCCTTCCTATTGCTAGGTGCCCTTTGTGCTGTTTCCCTATGCCTATTCCCTTCCATTTGTACGCAGTTCTTTTTACATAATGGTTTAGGTGTCCAAGTTTTTATATTTGTCCAAAGTCTGGTGCGTTTTCTGTATGCCATTCCATCTTTACAATAATCAACATCAAAAAACGAAGTTTTTCATAAACTCTTGCTCCTTCAAAAGTCCGGTCTGGGGGGTTTTCAACGAAAACATTTGGATCAAAATAGTTTATTATGTCAATAGCTTTCTTCACTGTTTCATTTGCTTCATCAATTTTTCTAGTGCCTGTTTGTTTTGCTATGATGTATTCAGTGCAAGGCGGGGATGACCAAGTAACATCAAAGTCGTTGTCAAATTTATTATAATCAAATGTCAAAATATCCTCATTGATACTAGCATTTTTAAGATCAAGTGATATAATAGTATAACCAAGTTCTTTAACAATTCTTCCAACACTACCTGTGCCTGAAAATATAGGGGTTCACGAAATGATGGCACAAGTAAAATGGTTGAAATATGCCATCAAAGATTAAAGATTTCAGCGCAAAATTTAGCTTTGACAATAGGAACACTCAAATGACATACCAATACACTGAAGCAATGGCAGGGCCGCTGTGAGAGCGGGGTTCTTTGAGAGTGCTGGGGTTGCATTCACAAAAGAAAAGTAAAAGAGAGGGAGGAAGGCAAGCAGGGAGAGAGGGAGGGAGGGGGAGGAAGGGAATGAGGAAATGACATGCACTAACACAGGAACAGCATACTGAGAGGAGAGGACCATTATATACAACAATGGTAGGTCCGCTGCGAGAGCAGGGCACAAAGCAAAAGGGAAAGAAGAGGCAGGGAGTGAGGAAGGGAGGAGAATGAAATGAATTGAACATAGGAACGCTAAGATGGTACACTACACACAAAGAGAGCGAGAGAGAGGGAGTTACAGAGAGTGAGAGAGTGAGAGTGAGAGTGAGCTAGTCTCATACTAGAATCCAGCAAATGGAATGAAGTCCAAGAGAAGGAACAAAGGAAAGAAACTATACAGACAGGAAAGGACACCCCCAAAAAAACACACATATAATATATATATATATATATACGTATATAAGATGAGATAAGGCGCCTGCTGCACAGGCTACCTTATTTGATCTTGGTTAAGCCTTTGTTCAGGGAGCCGCGGTGGGAGAGAGAAAGAGAGAGAGAGGAACTAACATAACTAAGGACGTCCTGGAACCCCTGGCAAGTAATTGAGGTATGTCCAAACAGGCTAAAGGGCATGAAAAGAATACTAAATAGAACGGCAAGGATAAAGGCAGTTGAAAGGATGCGAGGAAAGAGTGGTATGCATTGAACATAGGAACGTTAAGATGGCACGTGAGGAAATGATATGCACTAACGCAGGAACAGCATACCGAATGGAGAGGACCATTATATACAACAATGGTAGGTCCGCTGCGAGAGCAGGGCACAAAGCAAAAGGGAAAGAAGAGGCAGGGAGTGAGGAAGGGAAGAAGAATGAAATGAATTGAACATAGGAACGCTAAGATGGCACACTACACACAAAGAGAGAGAGAGAGAGGGAGTTACAGAGAGTGAGAGAGTGAGAGTGAGAGCGAGCTAGTCTCATACTAGAATCCAGCAAATGGAATGAAGTCCAAGAGAAGGAGCAAAGGAAAGAAACTATACAAACAGGACACCTACAGTGCATGACACTCTTGGGGCTGCTGGATGGAAAAGGTTTTTTGCGGAAACTGAGTTTCTGGTGTGGGAGAACTGGAAAGCGTCGACAGAGAGAGAGAGAGAGGGAGAGAGAGAGAGAGAGACCAGCAAACAGAGTACAACACCCTTAAGGCCTGCAACAAACAATAAGATGGCATACCAGCCAAACGGCTCTAGTAGATTACAATGCCGATCCCCCCAAGCATCAACTGACCACTATGATGGCACACATGGCCCTTTCAGATCCTCGATGTGTTTCATCAAAAAGTGCATATATGCCATGTATTGTCTCGATTCCTGTGTGCCATCAAAGTGTGAACCTGTATAATTGTTATAATTTCATAATAATATGTTGTCATAGAAAATATATTATCATGAGTATGTTTCAGTGTCTTCATCATAATCAATTTTGTAACATTGTATGGTGGTCTCTTTAGGTTGTTTTATTATTTTTGAATTCAACATTTCTAAATACTGCTTCCTTTTGGTTTCAAAGTCCCCTACTGGTCTACCTATGCTTTTCTTTTCAGATGCTTCTCCATTTTCCTTAAATCATTTTTTCTCATTAGTCTTTTCATCAATGGTTTTTAACAACTGTAAGATCAATTTAAGACTATTATTATATCTGTTCATTTTCTTTATCAGCTCATCCATTTTATCAGTATTATCTAAAGTAATAGATCCACCATCATCGTTTGAAACTTTCATAGTCTTATCTTATCACTCTTGCTGATTTTAAAGCTATATGGATTACACTTACACTTTTTGCCTTTAGTGTTGATTTCAATTTCATTCTCAGTTGTAGTTTTCCCTGGCATAAAGGACAGTCAAAGGTAATGAATTTGCTTGTTAGTTTTTGTTCTTCATCTAGTTTTATTGTTGTTGGTTCTTCATCTGCTAGTTCAAACTCTTCGGGGATTTGTGTTTTATTCATCTTTGTTGTTTTTGTTTGTCTTTTTTGGTGGCATGTATAATATTACATTTTAGATAAGTAATTATCAATTTTGACATTTCCAGTGAGTATTTACAACACTGCTTAAGTTTATTATCTTTAACAACTGGATATTTAGCACTATCATTTTTTTCCATATCATCTCTTCCTGTTATATAAGCATCATGTTCAGATAGCGTCATAATATATAACTATAATTAGATAATGCTTTAACACCATCTAATTATGTAGTGCTTGGGAGAACACTAAAAACGAATTCAACTGTAAGGGCAAAAAATCCATTGCTGAAAAGCAAACTAATTACCGACTTATGCGGATTAGCGTAGCCTCACCTACCGCACTCTGTCCATAGGAGATCTGCTAATATTTAATAATGTTTTCTATGTATTTTTATTAATAGATGAATAATAACACCGCACCACATATTCAACCTATCAAAGAAATCAATTATGAATTCACTCAATCAAAATATGCTGTTGCCTCTAAAGTGCCCTTTAGATCAATCATAACCGGTCCGTCTGGTAGTAGCAAATCAGTGCTACTAACAAACATGAATATGGACACCTACAAGGAAGTTTTTCAAGGGTGTATATCTGGTCACCTTCAATAAATGTTGATAGCATCTGGTTGCCAGTCAAGAAATACATAAAGGAAGAAATGAAAGTGAACACTGGTAAAGAGCAGGTTTTGTTTGAAGACTTTGACAGTGAAGATTTAATGAACGTCATTGAAACACAACATAGAATAACTGAATACAGTAAAAAAAACATAAATAAAAAAAACAATCCTAATAGTCTTGGATGATATAGCAGATGATCCCAAAATAGCAAGATATTCAAACATATTTGATTCCCTTTATGTAAGAGGTAGACACAATGGTATTAGTGTTATAACATCTGTTCACAAATTTAATGCACTGACCACACTGATAAGAGTTAATGCCACACACCTATTCTTCTACAAGGTCAGCAACTTTAAAGAAATAGAACTGTTTCAAAAAGAACTATCAGCAATACCTAGAAGAAAAGAAACAATATCCAAGAAAGTAAGCAGGTCTTATATAAACTTTATGAAATAGCCACTGAACAGCCACATATGTTTTTAGATATTAATCTTCTGGAAAAGGATAGGAACAAGATGTTTATGATCAATTTTTCACACTATTTGCAAATTGATGATTGATAATGTTAATATGATCAATCTTTATACCAATGAAGGAGCACAAATATTATAGCAGGTAGTTTATACATAATCCTATTCGATTTCAGGATGTGAGCAGCTGGGAAGGTTCGTCAAGGGTACACATTCTATCACGAGCGAAATGAACCCCAAAGGTCCCTACCACATATATATATATATATCCGCATATTACAGATACAAAGAAAGAGTGAAATCACCTTTAAACTGACATGTAGTTCGACAGCCTCTTCCAGTCTTACCTATTTAGAGTACAAAGAAAAGCAGTTGGGTGCAGAGAGAGAGAGAGAGAGTCTCTTACCGATGTCCATGGCTGCCGTGGCCGCTGAACCATGAGCAGCTCCGCCACCAGATTTCTCCAGAAACGTATCCCAGCGTGTGCCGTTCTTCGCGCTTCGTGTCCCGCTCGAGGTGTGTCCCATCTCAGCTGCCATCATGGCAGGGGCGCCTGGGTCACGCCGGCGCCTCGCTCGTTTCACGGAACCTCGCGGTCCACGTGGCCGAGCCTGAGGACAGAAGGGGAAGGTTGCTGTCCAGTTACAACTCAGCAGTTGAGGATGTGGTCTGAAACCAATGGACTCCACATGACTGGGCTGTGTTGGGAAGGAAGGCGAGACCTCAGACCATGGAGTGCGGGGGTGTGGATGGATCTTTTCAGCGTTCTTCGTAAGCACCCCCCCAAGACTCTGGATGATAGTTCAACAATTTTCAGCATATGTCAATTTTCAAGCCTGCAGAGGTTTTACATTGTTTATGTCTCAGAAAGGTTTATGAATCAACCTCTAAAATTGAATCAGCCATCTACATCGGGAGAGTCATGTGTCCTCATCATTTACACGGGTGGACATCCGAATGTTCCTCTCGCTCGGAGCGAGGTGGATCCTGTGGCCACGGTGGATGGTTCAGTCTATGAGCGTGGATACATCGAGAGGCGGGACGGGTGGGCAAGCGACGTATGCAGCGCGTGAGCGACTGGATGCATCAGAGGTTTTCGTATGTTTTCGTGACCATGAGGCGACCAACGATTTAGATCTATTTAGCAGCGACCAACGATTTAGATCTATTTAGCTGAAAAACACTACAGTTCTATGTTCATTTGGCGACTCATTTGGGTCCAACTTCAAGTTCAAGAAGCGATTCTCGTACAGGATCATCATGTATACTGAAGAAGAGGAGAATAACTTTGGAAAACCCTGTCATGTGACTTGGGAACTTTGTTGGTATTTCGGTATTTCTCCACATTTGGGTCTGATGCACATTTCGGTGTTTTTGGATTGATCCGCTTACGCTGCAAATGGGAAGACTGAGCCCTTTGTTTTAACCAACGAAGAGATGAAAATGGGCGGATTCGATGTTTCAGCCAGGTCATCTTAAACACATGAAGAACATCAGCTACATGTCAGGCTTGTTTGTGTCAGCAACATGTCTAAAATTGCCTTAAAAACTCCAGAATATGACAGAATATGGTTTTTTAAACACGCCTGGGGAAGTTACATCACTCAACAGAACCCGGACCGTTGAAGACCGGGCGAAGAAGACCGGGCAGGCGTTCCTCGGCTGTGGGTGATGCTTTTGCCTTCGAAATTCACCACCTCGCGCATCACTGTTAGGTCAAGACCATTGCTCATGCCAACAAATACATTGGGTGGTAGTTGAGAATGAACAAGAACATTTTAGGAAATTGGACAAAAAAGGCATTACAAGGATACATATTGCGTATATTGTATGGATGTGTGTGTGTGTTCTTTCAATCCCTTGAAATGAGCTGCCAGCGGGCTCTCAACGGTCGTGGCCACAGGTGGTTCCGCGAGAGACGCCAGGATGGCAACAGAATCACCTCGCCCATCACTGGGCCGCTGGGCAGTACCGGCAGATCCGGGTTTGGTGCAAACAGCGAACTGAACTAGACAGTTGTGGGTTCAGAATAGGTGGCTCCAATGAGGTATGTTTCTGGATCTGGTTTTGGAGTGGTCCGAGACATGTGCCGCGGGCCGCTTGGAAGATCACTGGCTTGGAAGCGGCAGATGAACTGATCGTTGATTTAGGGGTGTCCACTAGTTTCGGTCCAACAACCAGATCCAAACATGGTCTGAAGAGACTTTTCCGAACTTGCCTGTGGGCCAGAAAGGAGGTGTCTCTGCCTCCACCACCACAAAATCGGTTCACCAAACTGGAGTGGACGATGTTGACAAGCATGGTCAAAGAAACAGCCACGAAAGGCATCAAAAATCAGTGTCCTAAGGCTGATTTTCTAGTATTGTGATCCCGGGTTCCCACACAGCAAGGGGTCAAGATGAAAAAAATAAAAAACAACAACCTACTCAAAAACAACTCAGACCAGAAACTCAGATTCCAAAGCCACTCAAATGAGAGACTCAAATTGGACTCAGATTGGACTCAAATTGGACTCAGATTGGACTCAAATTGTACTCAAACATGGTTTTTGAGTTGTTTTTGTGTTTTTTTTTGAGTTGTTTTTGAGTTCTTTTTGAGTTTGTTTTTGAGTTGTGTTTGAGTTTGTTTTGAGTTTTGTTGTTGAGTCTGTTTTGGATTTGAGTTCTTGAGTTGATTATTTTTTGATTATTTTTTGTTTTTTAATTTGTTCAATGATTTCAGCCCTGTGTGGGAGCCACGTTATCCTAATTGTAGTAGGATACGGAGGAGTTTTGAAGCAAAAAAAGTGGGATTAGACGGCATTGGCCAATTGAAAGGATTGCCTCTAAATTTCATGCATGAAGAGTAGCTGAAGCAGGTCAGGAGACCGAATGGGTTGAGGACTCTTCCAGTGTTCTCCAGTCTTTGGTTCCACCCGGTCGGCCGCTCTTCGGTCCCCACCGGTCCGAGGCAAGAGCTGCCCTCGGCCACGTTGATGCCCTTGGTGGCCCTGCAACGAGCCATCGAGGAGCCACCGGAAGAGCTGCGGGACGAGAGGTGTTTTGGGGAGAACCGAGCGGAGGAGAACGTCACTAGTCTTACCCACCCGACCTCCGGTCAGATGGATGGTTTGAGCACCACTTCTTCCACGAGATGCCTGAGATGTGACGGAAGCTGGGTGGCACGACATCTTTGCAGGTTAATCTTACTTCAAACTGCCGCTTCTTTGCAGCACAAGTTCAGGTGCTTCATAGGGCACATATGCTCAGATGATGTGCTCCGGTTTCAGTGTCAAAACTGTAAAACCAAAGAGCTAGACCAAAATGGTGGGTTCTTTGGTTTTACAGTTGCACAATGTTGCACAAAGGACGATATATAATTAAGGACAATGAACAGATGTGAACGTGTACCGGGAACCGTATACGTATACTCTTTTCTGGTGCATACTCATATAAGATATCATAAGCCTGAGACATGTAAATACGTTCACCTTTGCTCTTTTAGTGTGTGTGTGTGTGAAGCTGTTTTATCGACTCATGCTTCGGTTGCGCGCGCACCAATGGGGGGAGTGCGTGAGGCCTACTTGGCTCACCGACCGGAACTCAAACGCGAGCAGATGGCAGGCAAGACATGGGTACAAGATTACGAAAGTCAGCCGACAGGTTAGCCCAGGCTTAGTTTCTGGAGGCGTGTTCTTTATTTTTGTTGTTGCATTCTTGATGCAGAAGGTGCGGGCAAAACTTTTGTGGCATCACTTGCATCAAGGCAGCTGCAGTGGTAAAGTAATCAAGAAATCATCAAAATGCTTTCATTGGTTAATCACCGGAACACCACAGAAGACCTTCAATAGGTGTGGATAATGATGGTGACCAGTATATAAGCATGCTTCCAGCAAACAAGAAGCACTATATATAGTACACCGGCAGCAGACCAGCACCAGTAGCACACCAGCAACAAAAACAGCAGCAAACCAAGGGCAGAAGATCAGCAGCATTCAGCAGCACACCAGCATTGCCAATCAGGTTGACCAGCACACCTCGTGGCTTGGCCTTTTTTCCGTTCGATCCGCCGAGAGACGCAGACGGTTTGAGCCCTCAAATGGTGAGCCGTTCGTTCCCTCCCTGACTTTTACCGGTCTCGGTGATATTGTAAAAGGACCGGATGGGTGGGTAAACTGGATCAAGTATGACAAATTCGGATATACAAATGGAGAGGTTCTCGTGCATGTAGTATCAATGATGATGCATCTGTGAAGAAATTGGACCCAACATGTCCCCAATCAACAAATCCATGATCTCAAACCTAAACCATCCCAAAACCATGGGGTCCACCACAAAAATGCGTCGGAGAGTAGAAAGAACCTCATGTAGCTCGCTTGGCCTGGCGCGGTTCTTTGATGTGCAAGCACTGACGAGGAGTTTCTGTCCAACTCGGCCTGTGGCCGCGGAGTTTGGAAAAATTGCAAAATGAAAGTGTAGCAAGTGAAGCTTTGGCGCATCGAAGGGCCAGTGAAGCTTTGGCGCAGAATCTCCCTCCAGTCTACCCGTGGTCTATGCAAAGCCTGCAGACGAAGCCCGCTCACTTGACAACTGCCCGGTGACCTGAAAACAGCAAGCAGTGAAAAGGAAAACAATCTGAGGCCGCCTCAGAATGTTGGACTGTTTGGCATTTGGTTCCATTCTCCATGTGTTTTTTTCAAGAATGGGCAACCAAAACCAAGCCCTCAAAAGCCGTTGCTCGGGATGGTTCTTTTTCGGTTTACACGTTCACCATCTTCACACCCTCGGTCCCTCCGCAAGAGTTACCAACATGCAAACCCGTGAGGCGCACCCGGTGTCGGCTTTGACCAGTCTCCCACTTCCGCAGCTTCCGTAGGTCGCTCCTTCGAAGAGGCTGCTGCGATCTTACAGACGGACCTCTTCGAGAAGCAGGTCGGAGCCTCCCGGCCGATCGGGAGCGCCCGTAGAAGCGGTCGGCTCGGACCGCGCTGCCAGGCGGTGCATGCATCCACGCAGGACAAGCTGAAAAGGTGCGGAAAACACCGTGAAGCACACGCGATCCGGGGTCGATCCGGGGTGCAGTGCATCAAAGTCTATCGGCTGAAGGATCATGAGGCGCATAGAAGCGCATACCATGGAAATCATTTGAAACTGATTGGAATCCTACAGTCAAGGGTGCCAAAATATTGATTGTCCACCCGGGAACAGCGGAAAAAAAAGTAAACTGATCAAAATTCATGTCGCGGTGCCTGTTTGCCCATCATCCACTGTGTGTTAGGTACAGGTTGATTCAACATCACCAATCGACGCCCTTTTCACCTCTACACCCAGTCTCCTCGCCGTAAGTGCCACCTCCGCGCCCTCGGCCTTGCTCCGGCGGCGTCGACTTCACCGCGACCGCTTGAATCGCGCGACACTCCGCTGCTTCGGAGGCTGAAACAAGCCAACAAGGATCTTCTGCGTGGACTGCAACAAGCGGAGCAGCGCATCGCGCTTCTTGGGAGGAATGCGGAGTGGGTGGACTTGGAGAACTGGGAGGGGGGGTAGAAGGTTGTACATGCGAAACCACATGTGTCAGATCTATGTCTTTTTCACCATTGGATCCACAGGAACGACAGCGCCAGGAGACCAGTGATTGGTGTGGAAAAGGGGGTCATCATTCCAGTTTTACTGTATGGATGTGGTTCTTGTATGATGTGGTGAAACGCATCAGCGTCGCATGGGGTGTTTTTCCAGTCCTCCTCGATCCTCTCTGAGGCAGTTGGAAAGTCAACTTGGCCAGTCCTCCTCGCCGTTTCAGGCTGAAATCCGCTGCGGTCGTCACGTGTGTGAGACATGTGTCAGATGAAATGGGAGGGCTCGGAGGGCTCATTGGATCATATATATATATATATATTATATGAATATACAACCTTTATATTGAATTCAGAAAGCTTGGCTTGGCTGAAATCATGGATCAGTTTAGTTTTGCTCCCCCTTCAAAATCCGGTGACCTTGGCTCCATCAATCAACTTGTGTCCACCCAGGACAAAATATAATCCAACCGTGGTTTCTATGTTATTTGGAGTGGCTCATCTTCCAGAATTTTGTATGACTCACTTTGCGAACTTTGCGCCACATCACACTGCAGCAGTTTGATAACTGTCATGTCCGTTGCGGGTGTTGAAATGACTGGACCCCAACAAATGGACTACATCAAACTTGAAACTGCCAATCCAACTTGGCGATTGTGGCCACGAAGAATATAATCACTGAAAGAATCTTACAGAACCTAAGGACCTTAGAGCCTCCAAAAACACGATCTAGATAAATACTCTGGATCTTTCCCCAACCTCCAGGTGCTGGAGAAAAGATGCATCAAGCCAAATCAACATCCACTGGGAGTGGAACAAGTATCATGAAATATCAAGATAAAGATAATAAAGAATCTAAATCCAAACTCCAATTCCCCAGTAAGACTCCTCCAACTCCCTAGTCACAAGTCTTCACTTTCTCATCCCTGTTTTCCTTTTGAGGCCGCGGCCTCTTCCAAAGTGAAGCCCGAAAGCGACGCCCCCACCGCAGCGCCGCGCCAAAGCGAGACGCAGCACCACGAGCCGGTGGGCGATGCCGATGCAGGTGCGAGACGGGGATCGGTTGCTTTTCGGGAGGAGGAAAGCCGCAGAGTTCGAACGGATTCCGGATTCCTCTCGACTGTGGAGTCGACCCTGCGACCCCTGCGACCCCTGCGACCGATATGGTCGAGTTCGCGGTGTTGGTCAAACCAAGCGGATTCGTGAGAAGCAAAGTAGTCGCATCGAGAAGGTCCGACTTTCCAGCCACCTTTTTCGGTCAAAAAGGCTGGTGTCTTTGGTGAGAAAAAGGTGCTTTCAGCGGCAACAGTCTGACACTCTTTGGCAGTACTCTTTCCTTCTCCGTTGTATTCCATTGGATTCCCATCCAATTCACCTGGAAAGAAGTGAATCCCTTTGACCCACTTCATCAGAAGTGCTTGTCCCAGCAGTTTGGAGTGGCCTCCATCCTCTCCACCAATATGTTAAATATCTACACACAGCAAGTTCTGCCAGCGCTGTAGATGTTCTTTCCACCGATATATCTTGGAGAAAGCGTTCTGCATATCTGCCTGTTCTTTCCTCCTAAGGGTGATTTCGTCCGAACGTGTACACCAAGTGTCTGAAGCAATTGCAGCACCCGGCTACCGGCTAAAAAGGGGGAAAGAAAGAAAAATACTGGTAGCGAAGTCAACGGAAGCTTCGGGTGTAGGTGGAGGCTGTATATTGTGCACAAAATCACGTGTAGGGAAACCCGCCAGTCATGCCATCAAGGTTTCATGACCGCATGTTCAACCGTGATGCGAAACAGCCTCCCAATGTCTGTGCGCACGACGGTGCTTGGAGATGTCAACAGTGGACTTGTTGGCTGCAATGTCAGTGATGCAGTCTAGTGGTAAGTGCTCCACAAGATGCTTGGAATCCACAGTTGGATCGAGTCGGGGTGTAATTAACCTTGAGCAGGTAGTATGGACAGGATTCCTCCCACCAGGTTTGGTGAGAAGTTGATAAATTATGATAAATTCAGTGGTGAACATCCGCGTCAGCGTCAGCAGGTTGAAGCCTCTGCGTTCGAAGGTTGAGATACCCTCCGAACATCCAGCACTGGGTGTAGAAGTGGAGATACCCTCCGAACATCCAGCACTGGGTGTAGAAGTGGAGGATGAAGACCGACTGAATGTGTAGCACTGAATGGTTTCATGAAGATGGGTGCTCGCTACGTGACGGCGGGCGGTGGATTCTTAGCTCTTCTCTCGGATGGGTAAAGCTAACTCGCATGGATGAGATCAACGAGGCCATTGGCAAGTCCAAACGATGGGAGCTTGAGTTCAAGTGGAAGACAAAACAAGCCTGAATGTCCAGGAGCTGAGGCAGAAACGCCAAGTGGACCAAGTGGGGAGCCAAGCGCCATATGCAGAGGAGGGACGGGCCAGGGTTTGGTTGTTTCTGTTTCAGGCTTTGGAGCTGCATATATACTACCAAAAGATACTAAGATACTAAAAGATTTCATGTATATACTGTGTATCACCCACGCATCGGACGGATCACCGCGACGATGGCATGTAGGATTCTCTGATCCTGACATGCAAGAGCCCCGAAAATGCTGTACAACTAGGCAGAGACAAACCAGTCCGCCACGACTCGATCGTGCGTCCTGCTCCGTGACATAAAGTTTGAGCAATAAAATGGAGCGTATCGTCAGCAATCCATGGGACTGCCTGGACAATGGCGCTCTGAGGGAGGACACGTCCATTCGACTTCACAAAGGTGGACGAGAAAGTACCGGGACAAGCCTGGATGGCTTGATCCTTGATCAGGTATTGGAAGCCTTGTCGGACTATGCAGATGACCTCATGCATTGTCAAGGTCGAATAGTCCCCAGTGACTCTGTAGCCGGCATGATGAAACATGAGAGCAAGCTCACAAAAAGCGACGGCCCCGTTAGGAGCTGCCTTCCAGCGCAGGCTTCGAGCGAAACGACAAATGCTCTCCCAATCGTCAGTGGTGTGTTTCCAGCGTGTAGGTATGGGATGATTGAGCGGAATTTTGGCTTTCCAACCAAATGTGGTTCTGGCAACGTTCCAGTCCCATTTTGGGAAGGTGGACTTGGCCAGGGCTAGTGAGAGCATTGAGTCCGGTGACTTGGGAATCTCAGTGGTGGCTTGCATGTCTTGAGTAGCCAGCTGACAGTGTAGTCGCACCAGCCAGTCTTGATGTAGTGTAGCGGCTGCATACAAGGGTGCGACCATGTCTGGAACAATGGGCGCAATCCGGTGTGCGCAAGCCTTGGCCGTTGCATCTGCACGACGGTTCAAGATCACATGCCGCACTGTTGACCCCAGAGCCGCAATAGCGCAAGGATCTAACTGATGGTCAGGAACACCCTCGAAAAGATGTGCTGGAATCCAGGTTGCTTTTAAAGGTGTGCTAAGAATGGACATCCGGGCTTGCAACACTGTCTGGATGGATGACCACCAGTTCTGGCACCAACTTGTCCGGTGGTGATTAACGACTCGATGTTTCGGACAACGGCCTGATTGTCGCAGTACACCTGCAATGGCCCGGGGGTGGTTTGTAGGGCCACCCGGATGGCCCAGAGCTCGGCCACGTAACTTGAAAGGCCCCAACGTTTGACACGTCCAGAACTGATCACATTGCCTGAGGCACCAATGACTGAATAGGCCGCTGTTGTGAGCCAGAAATGATGTGGCCACATGACGGAGCCGTCCGTCCAAACTTCCGTGAGAGGGGCTGCAGGATCTGCTTGTGCTGCCTCAAGAGGGTCAGCTTTTTCACTCTGCAACCGAAAGCGAGAGAGCCGGTAGGGGTGCTCCACGATCCCCAGCAAAGGAAAATTTTCCCCGAGGTCGTGTAAAACAGGCGGCCCAACGAGTTCACGGTATGACTGACAAGTATGTACAATGTGGCTGAGACATTCAGGTTCTTTCTGACAAAACCTACAAAGCTTCGAGTCCGACCAACCTGCGGCAAAAAGTCTATCTCTTGTGTGTATATACTGTGTATATATATATATATAGCCAGCTATATAGATATATCATATAAGGTAAGGGACTATATGAAAGATGTTAAAATATAAAGTTCTATATTTTTCTATATGGGACAGTTGTTTTCAAAACGGCCCACTCCCCGAACGGTCCCTACCCGCATATACCCGGGACCTCGTCAGCTGATCGTGGAAGCTGCGAAGCTGCTCACCCGGACCCAACAGGTCCGTTGGGTGTCCGAGTCCATCTTCCGCTTCTGTTGAAGAGATGTGTTGATGGGTGCGGTTGGTTGAACCTCGTTTTGAAAGAAGCATCATGATCCGATGAAGGAAAAGACCGAAGAAGGAAATGGAAGGCCAAGACCAAATGGTTTTGACCACCGCTCGAGTGGGAGCTCTCTTTGACTCTGACCATCGAGTTGCAACATGCAGATATCTGAGACTTTTGAGGTGCATAAAAAAGAATACACACCAGAGTCGCTGCACTACCACCCATTTCAGATGGTGATTGGACAGAAAACACATGGGAAACAGGGGGTCTATAAACCACTCAAACCAGGTGATGCTGGTAGAGACATGTCAAGCCCAGATCAACCGCTGCTTCACTCAGCGCCCAAGGTGAAACCCGTGCGCCGAAAGAAGATGCAAAGCCATGCGTCGGAGCAGGTGCTGTTGGCGTGCGGGAGAGCCTTCAGGGACGAGCCGCGGGGATTCACTGATGGATATGTGTTCAGGGAGGAAAGCCCAGGCAGGGAACTCCTGCAAGTTCTGTTGCAACAAACCGATGGACAAAATAAGACCTGAAGTTCTTCAGACAGGCATCCAGTGCTTGCGCATGATGTTTTGGAATGTTTTGGATATGAGTGGTACAGGTTTGTGCCGGTGTGGTCGTCGGGTTCCAACAATCCAAATAGACCATTGCCACAATGGCGCCCTTCGTATTCCTTGGGGCAGGGAGCTAGGCTTGCGTCCACATCCGAAAGTGGGAGGAGCGTGAGGAGCTTGGCTTGACCTGGCAAAGCGCGACTGATGGAGCTTCTGGAGCCATGGTCATGTGACGGTCACATGCACTCGGTGGGAAATTTGGTCGTCTCACTCCTGAAATGATCTGATGTTCTTCTGAAGAACGGTGAAGTTTATTGAATTTTGAAGTATGGCTCCTTTTGGCAAGGTACACACTTGGCAAGGCACCCAGTGAATGAGTGTCGATTTCTCATAGATTTCTCACACGTGGCGTTCTTCACCAGATCAACCATTCACTTGCTAATATGTAACCAGGGTTGACTGCGCAAGCACAGCCACCCTCCTTTTTTGATCTTTTTTGATTTGACATGAAGCATGGCCTGGCCCTTGGAGTAGTAGGTCTAAGAAGATCGATGTGGTGCTGGACATGGAATAACACGAGCCCAAATCATTTGAGGTTCCATGATGTTCCACTCCCGAAACCGACCCTTGCGAAACCCTGAGATATCGCCTGGGTGCAGCAACTTGCGCCTTTCGGAAGGATCCGCCCACGTACCATGGAGCGTACAGTCCGCCGTAGCACAGCCAGGAGTTCATTGGGGTGCACAAGGCCGCCTCGGATCCCCGGATTTTCCCGGAAATGTTCGACCTGACCAAAAGCCTGGCGATGTCATGGTGTTGCCGTCGTCGCCAGACCGCCACCAAGTGGCTTCCATCGAAGGAACGACCCCCTACGCACCACGGTCGACGGTGTGCTCGCTGTCGACGATCGGCTCGGGGGCAGATGGATGGATTCTTAGACTGCCAAACATTCATGGAGTTGGTGACCCGTTTCAAGACCACCTTAATTCTTTTTGGCGACCCGTTCCTTTTCGAGGGGGGCCAAGCCTGCTACTCGGCCTGAGAGAGTCTCTACCCTCTTACAGGTTCAGGCCAGAGCGACCCACGTGCAGAGCACACATGCGCGGGACGGGCGGCCACGTGCTAGGTTTGCTGGCCTTCCTGATGATCACATCTTTGGTCTTCCTTCTGGGGCCGTCACTGGGCTGATTTCCTGACTGGAAATGGGTCCAAAAGAATCTCCATTGGGGGGCTCAGGGCTCAACCTCCCTCATTGTTCTTCTGAGCACCAGTCCGTTTTTCAGGTCTTGAAATAGGCTGAATTCGTCGGACGGATGGTTTCTTGGGTACTTGAAATCGGTCAACAACTTTGGTTGGCTGCCAGTGATTAGTTTGATGTGGATGTGGATGGAACGAGACTATGCTCACATAATGCCAGGATTCGCAGGATTGGTCATAAAGTGTTCAAAGCTTTAAGGGTCAAACTTTGTTTGCACAGCAGAGAATCCAATCATATCATCTAATCCATGCTAGACCGACCAGCTTTAGAGCCAGGCATGGTGCCAGCCTCATGTTACACCCACTAAAAACACAACCACCGAACTACCAGCTTTGCAAAGGCACTATGCTTAGCACATCCATTGCGGCAACCACCGGACCAACCGCCGTCTACCTCGTGCGTGGCTCATGCCTCGGATCCGAGGTTTCGGTGGCAAGCCGTGACCGACGTCGTCCCTGTGGGACGGAGGGAGGCGAGAGGAGGGTGCCGTTGCGCCGTGACACGGTGTGACACGGTGTGGCGGCTTTTCTCTTCCGTGTGTATTCCTTTTACACGCCGGAAGCACTGGATGTGCATGGAAGCACCGTTTCTTTTTCCGGTGTACAAGAAAAGACATTACATAAAAAGATTTAAGAATCATTAAGACTTCGGGATGATCCTGCCAAAGTTTGTCCATGTGTGGTATTAAATGCCATAGAAATAGAATTGACATGTTGTGCTTTTCTTTTTTCCCCACACGGGCCGCTCCGGACTTCGGTTTCAGAACCCCGCCAGGTGCTGGAGACGTCGCATCTTCCGCCGTCAGGGGGGGCCCATCGTCTCCGTGTTCGGTGAAGAAAGATCCACCGAACACGTTGGTCGGCAGGTTTTTGCGGATCAGATGATTCTTGATGTTCTCGATCGTTCTCGAAGTGGTTATATGAAATCCCCTGGATAGCAATGGTGACACACGAAGACCAAAGGGATCCAGAGGGTGTATTCTTCCATTGCATCCATGTGCAGGATCAGCATCGTGCTGCCAAACAGAGAGCCACCATAGCTACTGCTGCGGGGGTCAGAAGAAAAAACATGAAGATATAGTCATTGAGCATGTGGTTACACAAACAAGACATGTAAAGGTTGCAACCCTGGCCTCCAACCGCAACCCTGGATGAAGGGAATGAAGGGACACCCACGAAATCGATGATCACACATGAAATCTCGGTGACGTCCTGTGATTGATCCGGCGGAAAATCTATGGCTTTCCCGCCGGTCGGATCCTGGTGCTTTTCCGCCCGACTGGTGTCATATCTCACATCTCCAATCTCAGGATGGAGGAGAACCCCGCGCTCACGGCACAGCCTGGGATCTCAGCACGGTGCTCTTTAGGTCCAAAGCTGATTCTTTGCGACCTCTCTCTCGAGGAAACATGAGGAAACTAGTCAATCTTCTCAGCAAAACCAGGCGAAATTCCAGTTGTTAGACACAACCCCTCCTAGGTCACGTTTTCAAGCCATCAGTGGGAAAATACAACGAGTCTCGATGTCATAACTTCTGCCCAAGCCTGCTCCCGGCAAGGACTCAGCAAGGACTAGGCAGATCCCACATGTTCAGTGACTGAATTATCGGAATTTGGAAATTCTTGACATGGCAGCCCTGGCACACCAAACCAGCAAAATGATGGGCCTCTTATGGGCTATAGCATGCTATAGCTGTCTGTCGCGTAGCTTGGGGGAGGGTTTGCTGGAGCTCGGGGGGATGTCATAGGAGGACCTATGGATGCTTCATCCAAACAGAGCCGGCGCTTGGAGCCCTATTCGTTCCCCCAAGCCTTAGCGCTACTTCGAGCCGTTGGGCATGGCCGGCATGGCTCGACGCCGTTTTTGGGGCGAGCAGCGTGGAGGGCGAACTACTTCGACCCTTGATGGTTTAGAAAGGTTTCGACCGCTTGGAGGGAAGGTTTTAATGGGTGTTAAAAGATTATACACTATTTCTTGGATCCAAAAACGAGCAGAATGCGGGTCTATGGCCAAAGATGGCCTCAAAGGACTACGGACGCTTGCCCACGCGAAGACCAACTCTTCAACTTTTGACAATGAGCAATCGTCCAAAAGTCAACACAGGGGGCCCTGCTTGACCTGGTTTGGAATATATAGTGGTGTCCCACAAGGCTTTCGGAATTGGAGAACCGTGCAATGCGCAAGCAAGATCGGATTTCAAATCGTAGCCCCATGGCCAATGGGTTTGCAAAATGGAAGCCATCGATATGGCATATGAGCAATAATCATGCTCACGACAGCCAAAAATCAAATATGATCCAGCAATGCTCTCACTGTTTGTATCTATATGATTCTATATGTATCTATATGTATTATATGCACAAGATTGCTCATACAGTTATGCAGGTAGCAACATCCCAGACGAACCATTGGTCCTGCGTCCAGGTAGACAGAATGTCTGGTCCAGACTCCAGGCCTGCCTCCTCCAGACCTACTTAATGAGAAGATGTGAGAAGCTATGTTTTTGTTTTTGTGTGTTTCGGAAGACAAAGAAATAGAAGAAGTTTGCCGCCGACAGCAAACCTTGAACCCAGATATGGATCCAGAATTTATGGAATTGTCCAAAACACCTCCCACCTCCCAAACTAGATATAAGCACTAATTATAAGGAACGTAGAAACCGAAACAGTACTATACCGACCGTATACCACTCCCAGAAACCCAGACTTCATAACACCTTTGAACTATAAGATGAAAGTCCAAACATGCCCCAACTTGTTGGGGGTTCTATTCTGGAAGCCGTGGGCGCCCTTTTCGTCCGGCGATCAACAGGAACCCTTCAGAACCCATCCTGAATTTCAGAACAACGCCCACGATCAGGCGCGATGGAACATGGGCGTTCCGCGGTGAAAGCCGCGCTTTCTGAGGTTGAGGGCCTTAGAGGAAGGCAACGACGATGAAAAGCAGAAAGTGGCCTTCATGTGGGACCGGTCACGTCTTTGGGGTCGGGTCTCGCGGAAGAAGCGACGAAGGGAGAGCCCTTGTTGCTTGGATCAGTATGGTCAGCTCATGTCAGCTCTTCTTTTCGGACTGGGTTCTTTGGGAGACCCATGTTGGAGTCTCAAAAGGTTGTGCGACATCTGAACCATAGGATAGAATGGTAGCAAAAGAAATATATATATATACTATAGGAAGCCGGTTTGAAGTCCAAAGTCCTCGAATCTCCTCGCACAAATCTGCTATTAACGATATACATATACATTCATATTATACAAGAAATCTTAATATGTACACATTTATATAGATGAATTCACATTGAGCTGCATGCAGTATCGCCACCGTATTTTCATGCGGCTCTTCCCCACATGAACTGTCAGGCCTCAGTGTTGTGTCTGCCAAGTCCTTGACAAATGCATGCCCACGTGGCGTCACCCCAGCAATCAGCCAACAAATGCACGGTTTCGATTAAGTCAAAAGAACAAGATGGAGCCCACGAACCCGAATGCAAACACGTTCGAAAAGCTACATATGTCCAAATGACACTCTTGTAGAACACTCTTGTGGGACACTCTTCTGGGACACTCTTGTAGGATACTCTTGTGGGTCACTCTTGTAGGACACTCTTGTGGAACACTCTTACAGGACACTCTTGTAGGACACTCCTGAAAGGCACTCTTGTGGGACACTCTTGTAGGACACTCTCGTGGGACACTCTTGTAGGACACTCTTGTCGGGCACTCTTATGGGACACTCTCTTGTGAGACACTCTTGTAGGACACTCTTGTGGGTCACTCTTACACGACACTCTTGTAGGACACTCCTTGTGGGACACTCTTGTAGGAAACTCTTGTGGGATACTCTTGTGGGACACTCTTGTGGGACACTCTTGTAGGACACTCTTGTGGGACACTCTTGTGGGACACTCTTGTGGGATACTCTTGTAGGACACTCTTGTGGGACACTCTTGTGTGACACTCTTGTAGGAAACTCTTGTGGGACACTCTTGTAGGACACTCTTATGGGATACTCTTGTAGGACACTCTTGTGTGACAGTCTTGTAGGAAACTCTTGTGGGACACTCTTGTGGGACACTCTGTGGGTCACTTGCAGGACACTCTTGTGGGACACTGTTGCGGGGCACTCTTGTGGGACACTCTTGTGGGACACTCTTGTAGGACACTCTTGCAGGACACTCTTGTAGGACACTCTTCTGGGACACTCTTGTGGGACACTCTTGTAGACACTCTTGTAGGACACGCTTCCGGGACACTCTTGTGGGTCACTCTTCCACGACACTCTTGTAGGACACTCCTTGTGGGACACTCTCATAGGACACTCTTGTGGGTCACTCTTATGGGACACTCTTGCCAGACATTCTTGTGGGACACTCTTATAGGACACACTCTTATGGGACACTCTTGTCGGACATTGTTGTGGGACACTCTTGTGAGACACTCTTGCAGGACACTCTTGTGGGGCACTCTTGTGGGACACTCTTGTAGGACATTCCTGTAGGACACTCTTGTGGGACAATTTTGTGGGACACTCTTGTGGGACACTCTGGTGTGACACTCTTGTAGGAAACTCTTGTGGGACACTCTTGTGGGACACTCTTGT